TATGACAAAATAACAATTTATCAACTATCAAGGGCTCATGAGGGAGGGGGGAATGGGGAGGGAGGGGGAAAATGAGGACCTAATGCCAGGGGTTTAAGTGGAGAGGAAATGTTTTGAGAATGATGAGGGCAATGAATGTACAAATGCACTTTACACAATTGATGTGTGTATGGATTGCGTAAGAGTTGTATGAGCCCCTAATAAAATGATTAAAAAAAAAAGAATTGTACAAGTCCCCAATAAAATAATAAAAGAGAACTTTTAAAGGAAAATAAATAAATTAATTAATTTTAAAAATTCAAATACTTGGCATGTCTGTAGAAAAATATCTACATGTGAAGAAGGTTAGATCTTGATGATATCAAAGTAGATTGATTTTGAAAAAAATAGGAGATTGATATCGAAGCAAAACTGTATGTACAGGGGACTTCAGAAAGTGTATGGAAAAATGGAATTTTCCTACAAGCTTTTTGTATTTTAAATGTGGTTAACAAGTTTTTAAGATAAAAATGCTTATCAAGGATCAATCATCCAGGTATTCAGCTATCATCATTCAAACAATATTCCAGAAATTTTATATGTTGGAGATACAAAGATTGACATATATGAATAAAGAAAATCTGTAATCATACCAGAGAAAGCGTAAAGATCAGATCAGATTGAAATAAACACTGATAAAAGTGATTAAACCTCCTAATCCTTGAGATCATAAGGACCACAGAGTATCAATAATAAAAACCTGTGTTTTCTTTCTATTCCAACTCTTCCACAATAAAAATTTTGATTCTCCCTTCTCAATGAAACATTTAAAAATTAACAGAACAACAGATGATTCTGCCAAGGAGCTAACATTAAATAACTGAAATCATAAATTTAAGAACCAATTGTCAGTTTCCTAAGACATGATTCCTTAGGAAAACAATGGGAAGAAAAATAAGTTACTGCAAAATAGATTAATAATATAAAAACATATAAAGAATCTGTACCTGATTTGTCCTGTAGCTCATCGAGTCTCTCCCCTCTTTCAATCACCTTTGTGATATTTTCTTGCATGACATCAATAACTTCATCCACCTGATTCTGAACACTATTAGAAACAAAATACAGCACTGATCTATCTTTTGAGGGTACTTACAATTTTTGAAATTTTTATTAGCTTTGTTAGAGAATGCCCTGTTGGTGTAACGGGTTAAGCACTGAGCTGCTAACCAGAAGACCAGCAGTTTGAATCCACCAGCTGCTCTGAGGGGACAGATGAGGCACTCTAACTCCATGAGATCCACAGCCGGGGAAACCCTATTCAACAGTTCTACTCTCTCCTGAAGCGTTGCTATGACTTGGAATGGACTTCATAGCACTGGGTTTGGTTTTTATGTGAAAGAATAGTAAGTTCCCAGAGAACTACTCAATTATAAAACTTTTAAAGTCTACAGCTTTGTAGCGTTGTTCTATCAGTAAGCATAAGTACCGGATATAGCAATAGAAAATTGAAAAGGCACATATATGGAAGGAGTGAGGGCCACTTAGAGTGTTGAAAATGTAAAGCTTCATAGCAAGTTTTGTATGTTGAAGATCTAACTTTTTCTTCTTCAAATTATACAATAAACATTTCAGAACACATTTTCATATATAAAAGTCAATGGAAAACTCATGTTAAATGTTTCAGAGATGAGGTTGACTCCAAGCTTCTTTATAAGAAAAACTCCTTTCATTTCTGAGTTTGTGGGCACAGGTGGAGAAATTGTGCTACCTTGTAACAAGACTGGAACACTTTAATCTTAATCAAGGAGTATGAACTCTGATAGATGCATTTTGGGTGTCAGAACATTTGAATCTCTATTTCCTGTACCAAATTCGCTATTAGTCAGTGGATTACGACTCATACGATCCTGTAAGACAGAGTGGGACATCTCCTGTGGGCTTCTGAGGCTGTCAATCACTATGGAAGCAGAGAGTCTCATCTCTCTCTGTGGTGGGCAAACACGGAACCTACCATGCCAGTAGCTTACTTAAAGTACAGTAACTTTTTATTTCTGGCTCCTTTTTAAGATAACAAATTGGGACTGCCTGCTATTCAGTTAATAAATGTGAGTAAATAAAATCAGCAAGCATGCACTTCCTCTCTCTCAGACTAGTTAACACTACATAAAAGTAACCTGATTGTTTTATGGGCAAGCAGAGTGAAGAGTGGTATGTGGCATATGTTCTGTATCTCAAAAGCTAGAGCCAATAGGGGAAAACTGGTGCCATGTTTTGAATCAGTAGGTCAAATATACCCAGAAACAAGTGTAACATTTGAGGCACCAAAATGTGTGTTAGCCAGTGTTATCTGTCCACACAGGCAAGAAATAGCCACAACGAAATGCCCTAAATGAAGAAACTCACCAGTGCTTATTAGTGCCAGAGATCTGTCCTTGGCCGAGTTGTGTGGTGTTCCACCATCGTGGGCACAATGGTAAGTTATGCTTTGGTTTGATGAGCACTCATGAAGCTATTCCATCAAGGTTCAATTTGTGTATTCTGATGGTTTTTTCCCCCACTAAATCTGGTACGTCTTCAGCTTAGAGTAAGAATCTTTCTTACTATTGTAAACTTCTAGTCACCAAAGTCACTGTGCGAATACACACGTACGTGTGTCTGTATGTACAAGCTTAGTAATATAGTCTTCAATGCCCACTCTGTACAACTGGCAACTAGAAAATTATATTCGAAAGACCCCAGAGGACACAGCCAGTACTTAGGCTTATTGTTGATACAAGACAGGAAACAAAGCACATGGACAGGACAACACAAGTGTGTCATCAGTGGAGTCCTCTAGTGGCAGTTGGGCACTTGGATGGTTGCAGAAGCCACGTCATCACAGCTCGTGTACAGGAACAGCTGTCATGGCATGCTGACACTCTCCAGACCCACAATAACAGCGCAATTAAATATATACAGGTACATATATATACATACACATATGTGAGTATGTCTGTCTCTATGTGTGCATAGTTTTTCAGATGCTAAATTCATGTCATTCGTTATGCAGCAATAAAAACGCAATACCACCACATATAATATTTTAATTTGTTGGTACCTTGGTTCTGTTGGTTGGTAACTAGGAATACCTTAGTTAGGATAACATTAAAAATGGCCATATTTCTTCATACCAACAGTTATCTAATAGCCCACCTACCTAAAAACCCAAGTATATGATCAATAACTAGTACTGACTACTTTCATGATTAGGGCAGTGCTTCTTATCCCTGTTAAGATCTTCAAGTTGGATCTTTCTTTCAGTTTGCCCACTATATACGGTCTTTATAGTTTGGTCAGCCTTATGAGTGATCCACTGCTTGTCTATTCTTCCTCCCTTCCTGACAGGACTTACAGCCTTAAAACACTACATACATCCACTATATTAACTATCATCTAACACCAATAATGGCAGAGTGAGTTACACATTGAGCTGCTAATCTCATGGTCAGCAGTTCAAACCCACCAGTTTACTCCTCCGGAGAAAGATGAGGCTATCTGCTCCAAGAAATATTTAAAGTCTCAGAGAGTTGGAATCAACTCAATGCCAGTGGGATTCTGGTTTAGCATCAAGAATACAGTGAAGGCTGTGAGAGTCAGAATTTGCTAAGACCGTCTTATTTTTCTAGGTCTTGCCTTTGACAAGGATTGGTTTGACCGATATTCAATCAATATTAGTGGAGAATACTTTAGGGTTCCCTTTTCTGACCAGTTTCTTATACAAATCCTGGCTTTCACAGGTTTAATCATATACCTAGCAAAAGCTTTGAATGGAAAATTCGTCATAAAAATTAGTCTTTTAAAAATCCATACAAATTATGGATTAGAATAAATAATGGATATAAAACGGTCTGGAAATAGGTAAAAATATTATATACTTCAAAACATTAAATATACAGCATAGTACTTTTATTATAGCTCTAAAAATGTGAATCATGCGGTAGATTTAAAACCAAAATAGATTGTGAAATGTGTCTGACATAAGGTCATCAGCTTTTTGAAAACAACAAAACTATCAACTAGAAATTGCATTTCCGTCGTAGCTTAAAACTGGGTCTTTGTAATCCAGAACTCATAGCACATGTCAACAAAGTTTTTCAAAAAGGACGAGATAGCAGATGTTTTGAGTTCTATAGTAAGAAGGACCTGGCCACAACTATTCCATCCTCCCACTGTGGCTCTAAAGCAACCACGGGTAATATGTGAACACGTGGGTGTGGCTGTGTTCCAATAAAACTTTATTTATAAAAGCAGGTGGCAGTCAGGTTTGTCTTGTGGGCTAATACCTGGTTACACAGAAATATGATTATCATTGAAATAAATTAGTATCTCAGGAACTTACTGCTTAATTTTATCATTTCTAGGTCCAAATCTTGGTCCAGATGGTCCCCTTCTAAAACAAAATACCGAGTATTAGTATGATGATTTTAAAAACAAAAACAGAACACAACAAGCAAGCTGAATTCTAAACATGATCAGTCATTTCTTATAACGAACCACATTTTGTCGGTAAATGCTGGGGCTGAATGCTGTGTAATAATCCTTGTCTTCATCAGGATTGACTGTTGGCTGAGAGTAACGTAATTCTTCTGTTATAACTTAATTTCGGGAGCAAGGTTTGCTGACCTACAGAGTTGAGCACTTTCAGGTTGAGGCTAGGAGCGGAGTGTCCTTTGAGCATCTCTGGCAGCCCTAAAAGAGTTTCGTCACATTGCTTTGGAGCAGGAGCAGGGCAGGGGCCAATAAGCTGTGTGGCTAAGGGGCCAAAGGACAGAGAGAGGCATGCATGTGGGCCTGGCTAAGAAGGGCCGTCTTTTCTGAATAACGGTATCCTGAGCATGCGTAACCCATTAACTTCCTTAATAACCTCTTAATTGTGTTGTCTGTGAGTCCGGGATGGCCGCTGCAATGTATTCTGGAACCCAGCTGAAAAGTAAAGCTCTACTCTGGGGGAGAAGCAGGTGGTGTCAGAAGGAGTGGGAAGGGCAGAGGTGGAGGGTGGGGCATGTCTGGCTCAGCCTCATAGAAATTGACCTGGGTGATGCTGATGTGGAGGCTGATTTTCCTTCCCCCTTGGGTAAACGGAGGAGGTCCCATGTCATACTCTTGCTTTTTAAAAAAAATCAGAATAAAGGACTTATGTTCATAGAAAGAAAGAAAAAGTCCAAAAGCTAATTATTTGAAAAGTAAGAAATGCTAAGCTTATAGCCAGAATGATTGGCGGCGGGGAGAGAAGATACAAATTACTAATAGGAGTGCTACAGGAGAAATCACCACAGACAAAGGTAAAGAGCAAATGGGAAATCTTTGTCATCTACATGTCTTTTCCTTAAGTCTAAAATTTTAAGTTAAAGTTTAAGGATATTAAAATATGACAAAGTAGGGGTTATCTTAAGAATGCGATATAGGTTTAAAATTTCATAATCAATCAACATGTCAGCACTTTAACAGATTAAAAGAAAAAAAACATATGGTTCTCTAAATTATAAGAAACACTGACAAAATCCAACATCATGAGGAATACAGAGAACTTCCAAGGGCAACTAAAAAAAACCTACAATTAATATCAAAGTTAATAGTGAAAGGCTTTTACAAGGGAGGGACGATTCCACCCAGCCGGCTTTCAATTTTTAAAAATTAACTATTGTCTTCAAATAATGAGATAGAGTTAATACAAGTAGGTATATACGGGGCCCAAGTTTAGAGATTCTCAAAGCCTAGATTTGACATGCTGAACATTAATGGCTAAAGACCAGAAGAGTTGTGGGAGGACATTATACAGAAAGCAAGCATCATTAAAAAGAGGAGAAAGAATGGAATCCTGTCAACAATAAAGCAAACAGTTGAGTGATACATACAACAAACACAGTGAGAATGCAAACAAGTGGTGGCGTGGAGAGTGGAAGACAGGTTACCAGGAGTTAGAGGAAGTCTGGGGTGACCATTATCTTGATGTTGGTGATAATTCCAAGGGTGTAGACATCTGTCACACTTCATATTGTAGACCTTAAGTATATTTTATTGTACTTCAATTACACCTCAATAAGGCTACATACACATTTTAAAACTTACAGGAAAAAATCCTCTTCTTCATCCGAATCATCTTCCAAAAGGTTTCTCTGTTAAAAGAGAAAAAGACATGAGTTTTCTGATTCAGAAGGTTTATAAACTGTCAAGAAGGAATAATGAACAAATTCTACCTGGTGAAATTTCTTAACTCCAAGCTTCCAGATCGAAGTGTTAATTTAAGTTTCCCTGGAAGCTAAAGGATGTGGAACTATCTGTGCAGACTTCCAAAGAAAAGGGTATGATTCCATAATCCTGTAACTGACTCAAAGGTAGTAAGGTCATGGAAGCTGGCCACAGGAGGAAGAAACGGCAGGGACTCAGGAAGAACCAGTCCATCTCCTCTCTCTTACATTCCATTCTCCCTCCACTCACGGATTCTGGGGCCAAGGAGAGGTGCTCATGGCAGAGCCCCGCTCCACAACAGAGAAAACAATACAGAAAAGTAGGCTCAGAGTTCAGAGACCGGAGTTTAGGAAGTGCCACAGTCCAACTTTTAGCATTTCAGTCCACAAACTGTCCACAAACAGTTCTCTATACACTATAATTTCAAACAAAACAACTGTTATGAACTGGAACCATTCTCTTTAAAATGAAGGTATTGTGACTCCTCAAAAGGAGTGGGGTGTGGGGGATATAAAGTACCCAAAGGAGTCTAAATGAGTTAGTTAGTTTATTGTGCCAACCTGGCCGATAAACACATGTGGGGTTAATTGAAGGGCTGAGAGATAAATTGCTTGGTGAGCCTCGCCTTTTGAGTTCTCGGGGCTCTTGCTTTCTGATGGTTGGACCAGGGTGCAGCTGCCTTAGCCAGTTCCCTGCTTCAGCTGGCAAGGCTCACTTCCTGCAAGATATGCCTGAGAAGCCACATGGACCTACCCCGATACAGCCCTGGGTGCTGGAGTACCCGTGTGAAGACCCCTGCCAGCACTGAAATGTTTACACATTCACTGACTTGGCTTTCCTCCTGCAGTCGGCATCATTGCGTCTGTTTTGTGAGATAGAGGAGGACTTTGTAGATTGGTGTCGGACATATGGGTTAATGTTAAACTTGTGGGCTTGGGCAGCACTGGGTTGGGATATTTTCTTGATGCGCACTTAACCTTTATATAAAACGCTCCTTTTAAAAAAAATCATTTTACTGGGGGCTTGTACAACTCATCACAATCCATACACACATCCATTGTGTCAAGCACATTTGTACATTTGTTGCCATCATCATTCTCAAAACATTTACTTTCTACTTGAGCTCTTCATTTTTCCCCCTCCCTCCCCACTAGCCCCTTCCTCATGAACCCTTCCTAATTCATAAATTATTATTTTGTCAAAACTCTCTCTTATACATGAGTTTCTGTGGATTTGTTTCTCTAAAGTACCCAGACTAACACACTAAAGAATAAAAAAAAAAAGAACCCGGACCATTTCAGAAACAACTCATATACCACCTGTTGTGGGAGAAAAACAACCCCCAAGAGATGTCTACATCCTAATCCCTGGAATTTGTGAATGTGTTCACATGCAAGGAGAAAGGAATTATGCAGATATAGTAAGAATCTTGATGTGGGAAGACCACTATATAGGACTGAGGAGGGTCAAATATAATCACAATGGCCCTTCTCTAAGAGGGAGACAGGAAGATAATGTACTGTTGGTTTTGAAAATGGAGGAAAGAAAATGAGCTCCAGAATACAGGTGGCCTCAAGCAGCTAGGAGAGCCAAGGTAACAGGTTGTCCCCTAGAGCCCTAAAAGACCCTAGCCCACTAAGACCCATTTTGGACTTCTGACCACCAGAACTGTAATAGAATACATTTGTGTTACTTTAAATCACTAAGCTTCTGGTAATTTCTTATAGCACCAATTGGAAATGAACACACTACACATGTACCTTTTCTGAGAAAACCATTCAAGGCATTATATCAGTCTGAAAGAAAATCCAATCCAAGGGGAAAATAAAAAGAGATTCATACTATCAGTGAATCTAATAAAATGTGTGGTCAAATCTAAATGGGTGATGCTAATGGGATTGTGAACTGTAACTTCAAGCTGATGGAAGCAACGGGATCACAGCCTAAGCAAAGGCCAAAACAACACCAACAAACCAGGACTCTGCTCACAAAGCCCAGGGGCTGGGGACGGGAGGGGATGAGGAAATAAACCCACACCAACACACTTACCTTGGGAGGAGGACAGAGGGTAGAGGAAGGACTAAAACCAAGAAGTACAATGGAAGGATTCTACTTTGAATATGCTAATACAGAACAGAGATGTAAGCACTACTGTTCAATATAAAGTTAACTAATAACAAGGAGAGAGTAAAATTTCTGAATCGCTCAGTGATGAGTAAGGAGAGCATAGAGGAAAAGTAATCCAGCAAACAAAAGAAGGGAAAAGAAAAATGAAATACAATAAAGATGATTGTATCTCTGTATAATAATTAGCATATGACACACAGTAAGGAGAAAAATAAAAGGATGTACTCAATATTCCTTTTAATATATTTCTGAGCATCATTTACGTATTAGGCAGTGGCCTAAGTACAAAGTACACACAGTTTTGGACAAAGAGATGAGGTCTAAGATCCAAGCATTTGTATTTGTCAGATATAAATGTCATACAGAGAATTAAAACAGCAATGGGACAGAAGGGGCAGAGTGGCGACATGAGATTAAGTTGTCATGGAATCACTCTGCAGAGGTGAAACTTAAAAGCTGAGATCCAAATGATAGCAAGGCATTCACTGACAGCAAAGAGAGCAGGTGGTGCAGAAAAATCCCACATACATTTGATTAGCACATTAAATGTGAGTGATTTTAATGTTACTGTTTAAAAACAAATACTCTGATTACAGCATTTGAAAATCCAGCCATATCTGTTTGTAAGTTCACCTAATTTCCACTTCATTATGATCCAAGAATGTGGATTTAAAACAAATGTCAGGCAAAGGAACAAAAAAGAAGTGAATAAGATACACCATCAATTTTGAACAAAAAGAATGTTAAGTGTCAGCAACACAAACATAATCAAGAATTTTAAGGCAAAATCACCAATTAAATAAGATATTTTTCAAGGATAAAATGAACAATTAACCAACTAGATTTAATAGCAATGAACATTCTATACTTAACAATATAATGCCCAAAGTGCTCAAGTTACAAGGAGATATTAATTATTTCATTATCACAGGGAAGATTTTAACATATCTACCCACTATAGATGACTGAACCCAAAAGAAAAAAATTCATAAAATTTTTTACCAATAGAAAATTTTATTTTCAAGTATCCAAAAAAATGAAAAACCCATAAGAGAATTTTAATAAATTCTCCCCAAATAGAAATGACATAGGCCACATTCTCAGATCACAATACAGTGGAATTTAAAAAAAAAAACCATAACCAAAAGAAAATTTAAACCACTCTTTTAATTAACTCCTTCCTAAAATGCAAATGGAAGTTGGACTACTTAAAATGAATAACACTGGAAATACTACAGTTCAAAATCTATAGGGTCTGGCCCCCATACACCTTTTCTCACTCATCAGCTATCTCATTATAAGACACTTAGCCTTTACAACAATAGTAAAAAATCTGACTATTCTGTGCCGAAGGATGTACATCCCTGACAGTAACAAATGTCAAGGTGCAAGGCAAGAGAAATGCAGACTATAATGGGTAAGATTATGTGTCGACTGAAGTGGGCCTGGCTCCTTAAGATTGACATAATAATGGAGACATAATTCTGTGAAAAGACTTAAAACCAATAATTGCACAGTTTAAGTGGGGGAATTGCATGGCTTGTGAATTATCTTTCAGTGGAGCTGTTAGAAAAGTATACTGGAAGAGAGGAACACCTTTTTGAGATTTAAAGCAATTTATAAATTAATAGAGGCAATCAGTTATCAAGCTTCATAATTTGATAAGTATCCAAAATGGAGATCACTGTTTAAATAATCTTTTTTTTCAGTGCTCTGACCCAACATCCTATTTCTACAAATAAATTCTCAAAGTAATCAACCCAGACTGTAACTATTAAGTGTTATAGTTACAGTCATAGAAGTAGAACTGACTTATTGCTATACATGTTATATTTCAAAGTATATCCATAAAGTTTTATTTTTAAAGGCTTAGTAGGATTTAATCTATTAGTAGATTCTAACCATGATCTAATGAAACCGTAAGCTTACTGAAAGTGCTAGGAAAAGGGAAGACAGATATTTAACATATTGTAATCAAATATGCTTCTGAATCATAAAGATTATGGCCAGCATGGATACTATGAGGCTCTGAGGTTGTTCAAAAGGAACATGTAAATGAAGATAAGTACACCATAAACCATCTAAGGGCAGATACCGGGCCTTCCAGTTCTTAGCGTATTGCCCAGCACATGGAAGCTGGACAATACATATTTGTTAGACAAGTAAGAAAATGAATAATGGTAAAAAGAAATGAACTGAGGGAAAGCTTTAGGCTCCTGGTTATAAAGAATATTAATTCTTTCCCTTGACAAATTAGTTATTGACTCTTATTCTAAAAATAACCTCTCTATAACATTCATACCAATGTCTTTTTTTCAAAATGATACATGAATTATAGATTTATACATACTTTAATGTGCAAAGATACTCTGTACTCTCAGGCAATTACAGCCCCAGAATCCCTTATCTGAAATTTCAAAACCTAAAAAGTTCTGAAAAACCAAAAGGTTTGGTATGTTTGGTACCAAAATTCTTTTGGAGTGAAACCTGTCCTGAATTGATGCTAGATAGTTTATTTATACACTTAAAATATAATTACATATACCACTGAGAAATGTTAATACTTTTGATTTTAAGGTCTGACCCTAGTCTCGGTAATTAAAACTTTCCCCCCCCAGTAATTAAAAGTGTTGACTGCTGACCAAAAGGTCAGCAGTTCAAACCAACCAGCTGCTCCTCAGGAGAAAGACGTGGCACTCTGCTTGCACAAAGATGCTCAGCAGTGGAAATGCTGTGGAGCAGTTCTTCTCGGTCTCCGAGGGCTGCTATGAGTGGCTGGGTTGTGATCTCCAAGGTCAGTAGTGGACCACCGGCTGCTCCTCAGGGGCCAGCCAAGAAGAGTCACAGTCTCGGACTCACGGGGCAGTTGTTCCGCCGTCCCATACGGGCACTGTGCGTTGCCATCAGCTGCAGGCGGTGAGTGAGATGAGCTGGCACTGACTTGGGTTTGGCTACCCAAAAATATACCTAACAATCTTTCTAAAATCTGAAAGACTGAGAATGACAGAGTGTATCTGTACACAATTTGTTTGAAATACTAGAAAGAAGTGGAGAGCATGATTTGGTAAAAGAATGGACGGAGAATTCAATGGGTCAGCCGACCCGAATATCTGCCAAGGCACCCAATTTTACCACAAAAACTGCATTAAATATGTGCTGAAAAACCTTGGCTTATACTCAAGTATATATGGTACGTACTTTGTAGTATGTTTACTATGTAGAAAACAAACAGAATTAGCATATAGCCATACATTTTAGATTTTCCTGAAATGAAGCATTTGTAAAAGGAATGAAAACATATTGAGTCTTTCTTTTTCTCTTTTCCCCGATGCCAATTTATCAAATGTGCACAGCACACAGAGCAACATTAATTAAAGCAGAACTGTGCCCACTTACAAGTGGACAATGATTATGTAGCCATTCTCTGGGAAACGGTGTGTACTTAATCATCGTGTTTTGTAGTTTGCTTATCTTCTTGTGCTGCTTAAATTTTTTAAAGTAGAAGATCCTGAACTTACCCTTTCACTCTTCACAGAACCGGTGACATCGTCATCGTTTAAGTGGCGTTTGAACTTGGGAGGCATTGTTTTTGAACCTATGGAACCTACTTCCCAGGAGAATAAGAATTCACCACCTTAAAGAGAAAAGAGAGGTTATCAGATCTGAGGCTTTGGGCCATATGCCAAAGTACTTAAAATGGGCTGGAAGGCTCAACGTGATGGAACCTCCTTCACGCTTCTGCCTTTGTTTTTGCTTGTTGGGCTCCAGTGACCCAGGCTTCCATGCTTGGCCTCCCCAGGTAGGAGAGAGGAGAAGTAAAACATTGAGAAAGGCTGCAAGCTTAAATGCACACACAGGGGATGGAAGTGACTTAAGGTTTTGATAGCATGAATGTGCAGGTGGTCCTGGAGCAGGGACAAAAGGAGGTGGTACTCTGAAAATGAAACACAGTGACTCAAGATTTTAACTTAGATTTGGAAATAGAGGAACATGTAAACTTTCCGTTGCTTAACGTGGTTCCAGTTCCACATCTGTAAAGTGGTGATTCTTGGGCTTCTGCTTGGAATCGAGAAGGTCGACTCAGATAACACATGCAAAAACACGCTGCACACTAGAGCCGTGAATTCCAAAGCAGAGCACTAGGCTCTCCATGAAAAGGACTAAATTTGATTAATTCTAAGTTAAATAAAGCCAGTTTTCTTTGCTACAGAACTTTTCACAGCCTTTTATATGCTAATATGCATTATGACTTTCCAGAAAAATGCTTGAGCTATGCAACAAATGAACATTTTATTTGAGAAAAAACTGTCTGAAGCAAATGAGAAGCTTCAGGATTTCGGAGTGTACTGAAGAGCCCTGGTAGGGTAGTGGTTACACTTTGGTCTGCTAACTACAGCAGTTCTAAGCCACTGGCAGCTCCGATGGAGAAAGATGAGGCTTTCCAGTAAGAATTACAGTGTGGGAACCAACCAGGGCGGTCCACCCTGTCATCTTGGGTGGCTGTGAGTCAGCATTGACTGCAGGACCCTGAAAAAGAGTACTGAATGTTTTCCTCTGGGCCCAGCACTCTGCTCAGTGATTTAAACAAACTTTCTTTTAATCCGTGAAACACTCCTTTGATGAAAACAATGGAAAGTGAAAGACAATGAAGTCTTAGTAAAAACAAGTACAGTTGTTAGTTGCTTAACTCATTTAAAAAGCAGAAGCTAGGATCAAAGACAACCAAGGGTTGTGCATTAGCTATTTTATTATTTATGCCATCAGTTGCCCACCAGGCTGTAAAATTCTTTTAGAAAGGCATCCTTTCTTATAAAAATCTGGTAGGCCTCGAAATGTTTCCAAATGGAGAAATGGCCTTAAGTTCTTTAAATGTTCCTGGGGTCCAATTTCAGGTGTCAAATAAAAGTGGTATTTTAAATCAACTTCCTGCCAAAATAGACAACAATTTGGGGGTGGGGGTAGGGGTGGCGGGGGAGTAAGAAATGCTTCCAAACCAGAAACAGCACTTGAAACAAATACCAAGCTCTGGCTAGAGTTTTTCATTTCACAATATTTCCATCAGTACATATGGCCATCTTGTTCACCGTACTGTGATTTGAGAATAATTCATTCATGCACAAATGTTACAGAATGCCTGGAAAAACAGATGACAGAAAGAACTGACGAATTTGAGTAGCTTCATATATTCAAAAACCAAAACAACAACAACAACCCCAAAGCACACAACACTAACCAGAGTTACTGACATGGAGTCAATTTCAACTCACAGGACAAAGCAAACTCCAAGGCTGAATGTCCTAAAGCGAGCAAAGTGCCTCATCTTTCTCCCTTAGAGTGGCTGTTGGGCTCAAACTACTGACTTCATGGGTAGCTGCCCAATGAGCAACATACTACATTTATATCAGATATACATTATCCATACTGTTTACATTTTAATTCCTTTGTAGGCTTTGTGGACTGTCTGAACATCTCCAAGCACACAGGCAGACTTATATAACACTTTTACGAAACATAAAGAAACCAGCTAAATGGAGCAAAATCCCATTTTCAGGTTCAATAATCTAAATATCGAAGCTTATTTTCAAGGCAAGAACAAATAGAACTGATCGGCCAGGCAAGAAACAGATTAATTAGCTACAACAATATTGCAGAACAACTGATGATATACGTAGCAAATAACGAGTATAAATAAACCATACTCAGAAATCAGATTTGCACACATTTTGCCTATGAGCTTACCTGCAAAAACAGGTGTTTTTGTCAATTAGGTGTCTGTGTCTAGGCATAGCTGTAAGAGTGAGCCCTGGTGACACAGTAGTTTAAAGCACCTAACTATTAACAGAAAGGTAGGGAGAATTCACCAGCAGATTATGTGGGAGAAATATGTAGCAATCTTGTTCTAGAGCGATTTACAGCCTTGGGAATCCTGTGGGCAGATTCACTACTCTGTCCTATATGATTGCTATAGTCCCGAATCTCCACAGCAATAAATTGCGGGTTGTACATTTACATAGGGCAGTCTCCTTATCTATTTCAACATCACTACTCAGTTCACTAGAGTGAGCTGCATCACGTTTTTTTTATCTGAAATACACATTTTATTTATTCTTTGAGGGCAGCGTTATACAAAGAAATTTCTTTTAAAAAAAGAAATTTTCTTTTTAAAAAAAAGTTTTATTGGCAAATAATTCACATAGCATACAAACGCTTCTTATGCCATCACCATACTTTACATTTTAATGTGATTTTTGATTAAGTAACACTAACTCACTTCAAAGATTTCTCTATTCAATGGCTTGACACGTAATAAACTTCTAACCTGTTGTTTAGTAAATGTTGGCCTCTTTTGCTTTTTGCAAAACCCCTATGCATTTCATTTCACAAAAAGGCTGAATTCGGGTCCAGGCTTTTCTCTGCCTCCACTCCCTCTCTGCTTCCTCTTCCTGCTTTTCTCATCAGCAGTCTCGGTGGGTGCAGTTTCACGAACGAAAGTAGTGACTTGGATGGACACCGCCTGGAGATGTTCGTCACCGAAGCCGTCAAAGTGTAATGATTCACGCCACCTTCCAGTCACTAACGCAGGAGGGTTGGCGCTCTTTCTCCCAAGCTCTTAAATAATAAATCAGACTCATCCGCACCAGGCCACGTCCCCCGACATCAGCCCCTCCCCTGACCCTTCCTGCCCCACGGCATCCACTCGCATTCCCCGCTGCCTCCCGCTCCTGTCGGGTCTTCCCCATCCCAGGCTTTGCTCTCTACCTATTTCCCCAGAGCATCCCTCAATCCCCATTCTTCTCCTTCAACCACCCCATCCACATCTGTGTCCTTGCCCATCTTCCGTACAGCACCCACCCCACCCCCACCCCTCAACGCCACCTCCTTGGCCGGGACCAGGTAGTCCCGGCCGGGGCTCCCTCGCCGCCCCGCAAACCCAGGCCACTGGCCCGACCCGCCCGCTCGGTGGGGGAGGCGGGGCAGGGGCGTCGTCTCCGTTCCCTCCCTCCTAGCCCTAGCCCTTCCCGTCGGGATCGGGCCGGCACGTACCTGCGGCTCCCGGGGAGCTCGGAGCGGCTCTCCCGGGCGGGCTGCGCTGGGTGGGCGGGGGGAGGAGCGGTGGGCTGGGGAAGGCGGGAGGGAGTCCACAGTGGGCGCACACCCGACGTTTGCCGATCCGCCGCAGCTGCGCCCCCGGCTCATCGAGCCGATCGGCGCTCCGCGGCCTGGCGCCGGCGGATGGGGCGGGACCAGGCCAGGGAGATCGTCGAGGGAGTCGATTCACCTGCCTACTCAACCTGTGACCCCACGCACAGTGTGGACTGGAGTCCTGACACTGTACTGTACTTAGAGGAAGGAGGAACAACGAATGTTCTCGAGGTCCCAGGCCGGATCGGGCGTGCAAGGAGGACGCTCAAGGGAGGCGGGGGGAAGCTCTGTGAAAGTGGGGTGGCGAGGGGATGCTTATGACGGGTTGATGAGGCGTTTTTACGCGACGCGCGGTCCCTTCTCCCACCCTCCCCTCCGGTAAAGGAAGCCCACTAGGAAGAGGAGGGTGCTTGCAGTCCCAGGCTCGGATGGCATTGGAAAGGAGATCCCTTTGATTCCGTCTACAGAAGCAGAATTAGTCCCGGAAAGTGGTGTTGAGGGTTACTAGTCTGGCCCCTTCATTTTGGAAAGAAGGAATCCCTGATTCCCGAAAGGAGACTTGCTCTCAGCTAGTTTGGATAGTGTTCTTTTTCCTGTCTTGCTCAGCTGTAACCTAAAATAACTAGATCCAGACACGAACCTTTTGCCTGGCCATTCCCTTCAATTCACCCCCGCCCGATTTTGTGCCACAGGGAAACACCAGATTTAGTTCCGCTAGGATTAAAAACTATTGAAGGGATTAAAGCATCTTCCGAGAGGAGGGACACACCAGCATTCAGGTATTGCAGTTTGCTCTAAATTGCTCCCACTCGGCCATCGAGTCGATGCCGACATTCCTACAATGCAGCTCTTTGCAGGAGTATAAAGCCCATCGGTTGTGGGTTTCTAAGGGCGGGTCTTATTAGCAGCCCGAAGCCTGGGGACTAAACCGTCATAGTCCCTTCTGGTTCCGTTTTTTAGCCAGCTAAAGGCAGCACGCTGCGGGGGCCGGTGCTAGGGAGCATAGCAAAATTTGCAAAAGGTTTTCTAACCGACAAGAAATTGAGCTAAACATTTCGGTGATTGAGAAATAAGATCTCATTAGGTCTGAGGTTTGGTTTGTGTTTGTTTCCCTGTGGTTGAAGAGCCTTGGAGCTTTAGTGGGGTACACTTTGGGCTACTAGCTTCAAGGTAGGAAACCACCAGCCTTTCCGCAGCACTCCGTGAAGATTTAGTCTCGGAACCCCCCCTGGGACGGTTCCATCCTGCCCTATAGGGTCACTATGAGTCGGAATTGACTCAGTGGCAGTGAGTTCTCTCTTTGGGTTTTCGCTCTGGTTACAAAGTTAGGAGGTAGTTAACAGGCTCTATTTAGCATTTTCAATTCAGCGACCCTCTTTCCCCGAAAGTAAGACATCCCTGGAAAATAAGACCTATTTACAGTTTTGCCTCTCGCTGAAATATAAGGCCTCCCCCGAAAATAAGACCTCCCCGAAAATAAGGCCCCCCGGAAGCTAACGTGACTGCACTGTAGCAGCGGGTGCGATGGCGCAGCTCACTGTTAGCTGCAGTGCAGCCAGAGCAGACAGGAAGTGCGAGGTCTCTTTTAATAAAACAATAAATAATAAATGTGTACCATATTCTTCTTCATGGAAAAATAAGACATCCCCTGAAAATAAGACCTAGCACATCTTTGGGAACAAAAATTAATATAAGACACTGTCTTATTTTCAGGGAAACAGGGTCAAGGGAAGAGTGTATTTATTTGAGTAAGGCATTGACGTTGGACCGAAGTGAGTAAACATTCTAAACAACCACTTTGAACAATTCATTTCACCCAAGCCAGAAATTCTGATGCTTGACCTCTTTGGTTTGCCAACAGTTAATCTTTCACAATAACTGAGTTGCCTTCTCAGCAAAATCAGGTCAAACTGCAGTTTGATTCAGACAGATTTTTAAATTTAGGCTTGGAGTCACCCTGTTTCAGTTATGCTAATAAACTCAGTTTTTAAAAGATCACAAAAACAGGTATGTATTTAAACCTCCACATTTGCAATAGATGAACATACAACTCTAATTTTCTTTGGCTCATTCTTACTTGTCTTACTTACCCGTTCCACCCACATATGCCCAATTGGATTGTTTGCTGTTTTTTTTTCCCCTGCCACTTGTTCACTACATATACCTCATTTTTCACATAGTCTCTGTGGGTCCTTTGTTGACGCAGTGTTTAAATCTGAAGTGCTGGTCTGAGCACTTTATAAAGACAAATTTAGGACAAAAAGACAAATATATAAATCTTAGCCATTGAGTGGCTAAGAGGGAAGCCACTCAATGGGAGGTGCTCAATGGGAGGAAAACACTGGGACACTAAGGAAATGAAAAGAACACACCTCTTAGCAGCTGCTCTTGTGATCAGGGTTTGTGTTGACATAAACCTGCAAGATGCATTGGCATTGAAAGATGCATTGTCTAGGGCAGTGACTTACCCTTGGGTAAATCACCTGAGGAGCTTTAAAAACTAATGAGGTCCAGGCACTACCTTGAGATTCTTTGAGATTTAATTGGTGATTGCAGAACAGTGAGCTATGGATTGTCAGTGGAAGCTTCTGGAGGCCTGGAGATAAGTCTCACACTTGATTTGTGAATCTACTGCTTGGGAGCTGACTGGGACTGGAAGGAAGCTGCTTATAGTTTCCCTGCCCAGGCAGGATAGTGAAACTCCTCCAGCTTCCATAGATGACACGGTTCCTTTGATTTTTATTAGACTAGTTGATTATCTGTATACCTACTTGTCTGTGGGGGCTTCCTTGCTTTAGTGCCTCAGTGTTTAATGTTTTTATGCATATAAAGGTACATTATATACTATGGTAAACAATCGACTAACTGCTACTCTCTATGAACTTTATAAAACTGTTCAGATTTGTGTACAAATTTGACTTAAAACAGACTTAGGAAGAAAATTAGCCTGTATCGTTAAAGAGACTCAAGACATGCCCTGTATCAATCATTACCATAACAAAATCCAATCCCAAGTGGAATTGTAACCACAGGTATAGTAAGATTTACAACACATGTTTTGGGAAGACACAATTCACTCCCTAACAGAATTATTTTGAAGAGCAACTTGGCAGATGAACATCGTTTTATATTTTACTCTCTGCCACCCTATATATGGTCTCCAAGACAGCCTCATCTTTCTCCCTATGATTGGTTAATGGGTTTGAACAAACGAATGTGAGGTTAGCAGCCCAACGCCTAATCCAAAGTGCACCAGGGCTCTGTTCTTTGTTTTAGAACCTGCTTGTATGGCAACCCGGTGTTGATAAGAGCATCTAAAATATCAAAGAGAAATTTGAGTTTACATTTTTCAAGTTTTCTTTGTGTGTGTGTGTATGTGCCCAAGTCTTTGGCATCTGCCTTTGATCTTGAGATTCCTGCACTGACAACAGCTCGAAACAGAGATGCCTGGGCCATGCCCCGAGTTGGTGTCAGAATTCTGTGCATGCAAACTTTGCTCAGTCCACTGTTTTGCCATGGGCCCCCGACTTCCCAGATTACTATTATTATTATTTTGGTTCCAGAATTTCCATTTATAAAAAAGTAGCTCCCCGGTGAAATTCTCCCCCTCTTCATCCACTGTGCCCAAATTTCCTGCTTCTTTTTTGAACACTGAAATTGAAGTCCCTGTCTGCTCATTCTGATGACTGGATTACCCATGGACGACCTTCTATTTTTTCTTGAATTTGGGGGGAACTATGAGAGTTAATGAGTATCTCTTTACTCAAAGAGATAAAGCAGATTCAGTCCAACAAAGAACTGTCCCTGAACATTCGGAAAGAAGGTGGGTCTGGAAATAGAGCGGCATTAACCTTACAACTACATTCCAGGCTTTCCGTTAATAAACCTGTCTTTCATTTGCTGCTTTCTGCCCTGTGGTCAGGAGTCATCATACGTAGGTGGGGATGGCACAATGGAACAGTTTATCTTGATATCTCCCTGGGATTCAATAAGTTCCAGCCTCGTTACTCTTTAGCAAGCATTCCTGTTCTTCTGGTTTAAGATAAATTGTTTGTTTCCACTTTTTCTACTAAATAAATTATGACAAATTATACTTAAATTATAAAAATCTTCATCTTGGCCCTCTCTTCCCTTATTGTACTGATTTTATTTCATTCTGCTTTACTCAAATAATTTCAATAAAAGTTACCTTGATTTGGAACTCCCAGAAGGGTGTGTTTTAAGTCAATCTCTTTTGAGAAGTAAAGGGAATTAAACAAATCAGAGAAGCAGAGCTGGGAGAGACAGATGCTAAGCTACATGAATGCCCAGGAACCAAACCAAAGCCACTGCCATAGAGTGAATTCTGACTCATAGTGGCTCCGGAGCAGAAGCTCAAAAGAGACACGGATTTTTTTATTGGCACCAACAGAGAGAAAGTCTTCCCCTAGAACCAGCACCTTGAATTCAGACTTCTAGCCTTCTAACCTGTGAGAAAAGAAGTTTGTTTGTTAAAGCCACTTTTAAATACCATTTTGTGGCATTTCAATGATAGGCGCACTAGATGATTAAGGCTGTGTTAATCATAAACTTTCACCTACATGATGTATGCATTAGTCATTGCAACTCAAAACTAAAAGCCAAACTCACTGCCAACTAGTTGACTCCAACCCAGAACAACCCTTAAAAGACAAGGTAGAACTGCCCCTGTGGGGTTTAATTTTAATTCATGAGTGGAACTGAACTCACCCTACTGGATTAACTTTCAGCCCAATGATAGACAGTCCTAGAAGGTGAACAATAACATTTTAGAACAATACCTCTAAGAAGTACCTACTCAGAACAATCAACTGTACTTGCCCCAAAGGGCAGCATTTGTTCAGAGAAAGCACTTAGAAGGCAAAAATAGAGGGGAGAAAGGAAGTGGGAGTCATAGGGAAGAAGTGGGAAGGGTGCTGTGTGAACTGCTGAATTACCACAAGTGTGAGAGTTGTTGACTTGGAAGCCAG